ATTCCTCACAAATTTAGGGAAAATGAATGCGGTACAGAAATACAATGGCTATTTGGGCGTGGGGAAGCAAGCAGGATGGAGCTGCAAAATTTTTAGTCTTATCAACCTCATTTCAAATCAGGTATCCATGGCTATTTTTCCATATTCCTGTCTCTGTGTCTGTCTACCTCTCTGTGTCTCTTGGTCTCTGTCTCTCTTTTTCTTTTGTACCTTGGTCATTGGGTCTCTCTGACTCTGACTCCCCCGTGTAAGGAATCCAGGAACAAGCAGACCTGGATTTTCACATGGCTCTTCCATTTAACAGTCTGTGATCCTGACCTGTCTCTGAATAGAGAAAGTAATGCTGATCTTGTTGAGTTGCCATTAGGATGAAATGAAACAGAGCGTATAGAGCAGGCAGCTCAGTTCTTGGCTCCTAACAACTGCTCAATAAATGTTACTTCCTTCCCCTCTATTTCCAACTTACTGCACCTCCATGACTTATTAGAATCTCACCAATCTTGGCTTCCTTCTAGTGTGGCCTGCCCTCAGCCCACTTTCAGATCAGCCAATGGAGCCATGACTGGCTGGAACCATTTTTCATCCAATTGGTCTCTTTCCAGCAGTTTCATATGGTCTCTTGTTGTAAATCACTCCGGGAAAATAAATGTCCCCAATCCATTAGTGCCTTTCTACCACAAGCCAATGTGAGCCACAAACCAGACAAGGCTTGTTAATGGCCACTTAAATGTATTCCTGCAGTCCAATCTGGAGACCCTCTGCCAGCCTCAGGTCCTGCCATCCCCTCTGCAGGACACACTGCCTTGTGACCAGGCTGATGAGGGCCACAAAGGCACAACTCCGCCCCTTATCAGTTAAGGGGCCACATACTCTGATTTGCCTAGGACAGGCCCAGTTTACCTCTGCTAGCCCAGAGATGTTATCAGTAATGCCCTCTTTCACTTTCAGAAGAGCTCCAGTTTACATGATAAGCTACATGGATAATAGTTTAGACCATCTATCAGCCACTTGTTATATGGAAAGCATCATCACCAAGGTCTTTACCCCTGAATCTCACTTAAGCTTCCTCACTACGTCATGAAAGGTGGTGCCATTTTCATCTCCTTTTTATGGGCTGGTTTACGCAACATGGCCAAAGTCAAGTGCTGTAAAAGGCCTTCTGTGGGTGGTTTGCCCCTCCCCCAACTGCCAGGGGTGCCAGCTACTCATGGCTCAGAGCTGTCCCTTCCCCTGCAGGACTGTCCTTAAGCAGAAGCCACCTGCCCCTGAGACAGTCCACACGCCCACTTCGGATGTAGCCCATTGCCAGTGACACGGAAGGCTCTCCTGTTCCTTGCTTCATCATGGGACATGTCCTTGACTGGCTCCTCTACTGCCCCAGCCTGCTTCCCTTGCTTTTTTTGTCCTCAGTAAACCTCTTGATAAAGGGTCCTTGTGTCAGTCTCTGGCTCTAAGGAGTCAGATCCAAGACACTCATTTAGCAAGTGGCAGAGCAGGGACGCATAGCTAAGAAGGTCTGACTCAACCCCTAAGCAGAAGTGACCTGATCTTGCCTATATGACATACATGATTAGAAGGATAGCCTGCAGGTTGTTTGGTCATCAAGAAGCATAAATAGGATAGGTCCAGATATGACAAGAGTCTCAACAACAACCCTTCCTATTGGATGCCGACAATTGGCCGGCCTCTTTAATGCATCTGATCCTCTCATCCACAATAAGGTGAGGTTCCTCTCACTGCCCCCACTTTACAGATGATGAGACATGCCCACTGAAGTCACCTGGGTAGGAAGAAGTGACATATAAGCTTACATCCAAGTCCATCTTTCTCTAAGAACCACATGCTTTTTCCTCTTGCTGTGTAAACCATTCAATGAATTCTTGGAGAAATGGGTCTTCTCCCATTGAAGTTGATGGTTTTTTATAATTTGTTCGTTTATTTGACAGATAGAGTTACAGACAGTGTGAGAGAGAGACAGAGAGAAAGGCCTTCCTTCCATTGGTTCACTCCACAAATGGCTGCAACGGCCAGAGCTTCACCAATCCGAAGCCAGGAGACAGGTGCCTCCTCCTGGTCTCCCATGTGGGTGCAGGGGCCCAAGCACTTGGGCCATCCTCCACTGCCCTCCCAGGCCACAGCAGAGAGCTGGACTGGAAGAGGAACAATCGGGACTAGTACCCGGTGCCCATATGGGATGCCGGTGCCACAGGTGGAGGATTAACCTAGTGTGCCATGGCACCGGCCCCTAAAATTGATGCTTTTATAACAATTTAGAGAGAAGACTTCTCCCTCCAGCCCCCCATCCCAGCACTTTTGAGCACATATCTCTACTTTGTATAGGAAGCCATATTACTCTGGGAATAGCCAGAGAATGTTCCCTTAAGACAAAAAAGGAGAAAGGGAACCATGTTTATTGAAGAAAGGAAGGAAAGCAAAGCTAAATGCCAAAGGTTCAGAGAGGCAGATTGCATTTCCTGAGATTTTTCCACCAAGGGAGTCAAAATGAGACAAAAGGAGAGGTGGGTTTAAATCCTAACTCCACTATTTATGTTATTTTTGGGTGCAAATTACTTAATGTCTCCAAGCCCCAATTTGCTGCTCTATAATATAGGAAAAATACCTACCAGTCCATGCATTACAGAAAGTAAATGAGACAAAATTTGTCTATCTTTTTGCTTCTCTTCCATTATCATAAAATATACAGAGTAGAGTAACTAGCTTGAACTCTCATTCCAGCTCTGACTAACACTGGTTCAGATGAACCAGCAAAAAGCATATCTCATGTGTTGATAAAAGGTTTTCATTAAAAATAGAGAGCAGATAAAAGGTGGCTCTTCATCCATGAGGCCATCAGCTGATTCATAAAAATACAGAATGACTCATTCTGGATCCCAAGGCTAAAACTTACAATCAGTGAGCATCCTCAGCCAGCCACTCTCAGCCCAGTGAAGAAGGAAGGGCCCAGCGAGCCAGCTTCACAAGGCTGTTTCATCCTCCCTTGCAAAACCGATTAACTCTGCTTCCAGCTTTGCAAAAGAAAAATCAATCTGGGTACTTTGCAATACTGTATTCCACATGCACCCCCTTGCCTGCTTGGCTTTCTGAACAACTGGGGTATGGAATCTGCAGTCACTATGGTGTGTGTGTGTGTGTGTGTGTGTGTACGCACGCAGCTCCACTGAAGAACAGATTCGTGTGCCTGGTTTTGAAAAATCAATCTGCTGGCCTTCATCTTGACATTTATTATTTCAAAATGCTTCGGTTCTGATGAGCATTGATGCAGTTAGCATAAGGTTAGAGAACACGGACCCATTTGCATTGCCCATAATGCTCTTATCTTTAAGAACTAGCTGCAATATTTTCCACTCTCTGAATATACATTCTGACATAGGAGTCCTGTAACCCAATCTTCAATTTGGATGGGCGGTCATAAATCACACACACACAATTGTGTGTATATCCATGTGTATGTATATGTGTGTATACATATAATATTTTTGGTGTTGTGCTCAAGGAGGTACAGTTACCTATCTACAGTTTTAATTGCACTGAGTAGAAACTCTTCCACCAACCGGTGAAGAAAAACAGTGACTCAGCCATCCCTCCTCCACGTTCTTTCCCCAATCTATTCTTCTAGCAATAACTTTCTCAGGATGCTTAGTGCACCAAGCTTTGGGGATTTATTGTCAAAAGGGGTAGATATAAGCTCTACCTTCTGAGCTCAATCAGCTTGGATCAGGAAGAGTTCATAAAGAACTGTATAGGAGCCCCCCCCCCCCACCGTTTGCAAAAGCCTCTTCCTGCACCCTAAAATCCCCAGAGAGCCCTGGAGTGGCGCTTAAGAGTGGAACACCACCAGCTGCTCACAGGAGTGAAGCCAAGGAGAGATTAGTACCCAGTGCCCCTAACAGCTGCCTTCTCACTGGCACATGAAGCCTGCATCTGCTGTCAAGGTGGCAAAGGGAGGGGCATCTCCCGTACATTTTTCTTGCCTGGATTCTGGGCTTCAGATCTAACCCTACCCTGAGCTGGCTGCCGCTGCTGCAGCCTGAAGGGACAGACGCACCCCGTGTGAGCGCAGCAAACTCCCTCGGACCCCTCACAGGCTGCACGGAGTGCTGGGTCCAGGGACCTTCTCCCGGGAAGCCCTCTCCAGAACTTCAGGGAAAGGATCAGACCACGCAGTGCCTGCACGCAGGAGGTTTAAACATCCCGGGAAACCTCAGCTGAGCGTGGGTGCGGACTTCTCCCCCGAACAGTGCCGGTCAGAGGGCACACCTTACAGTCTGGCTCCTTCTGAGATGCGAGTTCGGAGCAGGTAGACCAGGATTCCCCCACCGCCCCAGAAGAAACACAGAGGAAGCTCCCGGGGGAGGGCGAGGGTTGGGCTGCAGTCCTGGCCTCACCCCTCCCCTGGCTGAGTCGCTCCTTACCTAACGGTCTCCTCCTCTCCCCACACCAGGCCACAGGAGGGAAGCGTGCAGGAGGGGGCACTCAGCCCCGCACCCTGCACCCAGCCCCATCAGGACAGAGCACCGAAGGTACAAAGGTTGAGAATGGAATCCCGGCCAGGCCACTGCGTGGCAGCTCAGTGACTCTGGGCAGATCCCTCAGTCCGAGCGCCAGTTTCATCACCTAGATGGCCTCTAACTCATGGAGTCCCAGAAAGTATGAAATACGATCGCACATGGAAAACTCGGAGAACGGCGGCTGGCACTCGCTAAGGCTACTGTCACTGTTACTTATCTAACCATGTGAACCCCCGACCTCCCGTGCGGGCGGGTCCCCCAGGAGCTCACTCCTCCCTCCGGCCTCCCCCGGACCCGGCCTGGGAAAGGTGGAAGACAGCTGTCAGCATCTCTCCAGCCTCTGCCGGCCGCGGGCCACAGGGCGCCTGGTGGGGACGCGGCGGGGGTCCCCGCGGCAGCGGCCGGGACCAGGCTCCCACCCGCCCGGAGCGCGCACGGAGGAGAAAGCGAGAAAAGGCGCGGATACTGGACCAGGCTTTGACGCGGATCTTGAGCTCGCCGTCCTGAGGCTCGGGCATGGGCTTCCTGGAGAGCCGCAGCTTGTTGAGCCCCCCGAAGCCGGTCAGCACCACGGCGCGCATCTCCTGGGCGTCCCCGAGGCGGTGCGAGCCGTCGCCGCAGCCGCCCTCCGCCGGCTCCTTGTTCGCCTCCTTCTCGATCATCTGCTCCGTCTCCTCCGCCTTCTCCACGCCTTCCTTGGCCATGGCGCGCGGGGACACGGGGCGCACGGGCTGCGGTGGCTGCGGCGCTGGGGGCTCGGGCTCCGCTCGCGCGGGTTCCTCCTGTTGAATGTGGGATGCTCGGCCGTGCAATGGCTGCAGCCTCTGCGAGCGGTGCCGCGGTCCACAGTCTCCGCCGTAATCCTCCTAAGAGACGCGCCTAAGCCTGCCCCGCCCCCGCTACCACCCCTCTTCCCTACCCAAAGCAAGCCTGGACAGCAGTCTCTTAACTAGTCACGGATGAGGCTGTTGGTCGCCCCCCAAATCCCGGATCCGTCCGAGATTCGTGGGTAAGACACGCCCAGAGAGGCCGCCTTGTCCGGACTCGCAGGTGCAGTACTTGGTTATATACGGCGCAGGCTCGGGCGCCTTGAAATGGACAGAGATGAATGTCTGGGCCTGGAGGCTGCCTTCCCGCGACGGGGTTGCCTTCTCTGCCCACACCGATCTGCGGGGACCGGCGAGCTGGCCGGGAAATTGGGTTGTTTCCCACACCGCCGCTTCCGGCAGGTGGCAAACTATGGAGGTTTCACCCTGAGCCCCGAAGGGTCTTTCCCTGCGGTCCTGCAGCCTCAGCCCGCTGCTCATTCAGCCGCATCCCCTGGGCGGCTTTAGGATGAACAATTCTCACCTCCCACGCCATTTAGGGTCATTCCGGAGGTTCCGCCAAAGAACCCTGGACCGGAACAGAGTCCTGTTCTGGACCCCAGAAGATTAAGGTGTCCCCCCTAGACACACACACACACACACACACACACACACACACAGTAGCTGGCTTTTTGTTTGGCTTGTTATGCAGCCCTTTGCAAAAAAAAAAAAAAAAGAGAGAGAGAGAGCTCATAGAAAAACTTGGATTTTCTAAAAAAAAAAAATAGAGGGAGAAGGGTGGCTTTCTTGAGGCCATTTAAGGAGGGAGATGCAGTGGGAGCATGGGAAGGGTGTGTTCTATCACTGCCAGACTTGGGAGATTCGCTCAACCCCCCTGAGACTCAACACCCTTGTCTGTAAATTGGGTGCACTAATTTTGCTTTCTGCCTTGTGCTAAATGGGGGAGGGGTGGATATGATTTCAAAGACACTGTGGTGCTTACCTTTGAGGAGTTCCAGCTCAGAGCCTGAGGCTCAAAGGACACAGTCAAGGAAAGGCTGGACATGGTGAACGACAGAGTGCGAGTGGTGCTGACCCCCTCCCCACACCCCTCTGCCTTTTTTTAAAAAGATTTTATTTATTTAAGTGAGAGGACAGTGAGAGGGAGAGAGAGAGAAATGTCTTCCTTCCGCTGGTTCACTCCCCAGATGGCCGCAACAGCTGGAGCTGTGCCAGTCCAAAGCCAGGAGCCAGGTGCTTCTTCCAGGTCTCCCACGTGGGTGCACTTGGGCCATCTTCTACTGCTTTCCCAGGCCACCGCAGAGAGCTGGGCTGGAAGAGGAACAGCCTGGACTAGAACCAGCGCCCATATGGGATGCTGGCGCCACAAGCAGAGGATTAACCCACTTCGCCACGACGCTGGCCCTGCTCCTCTGCTTTAAGTGCCCTGGTCTTCTAATCTTCAAAACGAGCGTTACATCCCTGCCCGCCACACCTGAAGTCCCCTTGGACTGGAAGGCGTGCTCCACCTCTTTGTACTGGTGTAAATTTCCACTTCTCTCTCCCCTCCAGCATCTGTTCCTTAGAGAAGGTTCTCCAAATTCCAGGCTGGATCTGGATCCTGTATTTCACGCTCTCCGGTTAGCTTGTGTATGATTACCATGGTCACATCTGCTTTATTCATGTGAACTTCAGAAGTCCCACTGGGAAGCAGGAAAGTGAGGCAGGGAGTGACAGAATCCAGTGCAGGTGCACTGATGGGCGGGTTACCCCACTGGACAGTGAGTCTCCCCAGGGCTTAGACATGATTATTAAGTAGTAAAATATGCTCAGGAAAGGCTTCTGGAATGAATGCTGGAGCCAGTGAATGCAGCTGCTCTGTGGGAGTCCAGGGGCAGGAGCCATGAACTTGTCCAGGGAGTTGGAGAAGCCCTAGCCAAGGAGGAGAGGTTTGAGGTGGACCCTGGAGGATGAGCCTGGTTCTTCAGGCAGGCAAGGCCACAGGCACCTTCAAACACATAGAAAGGCGACAATCTAAGTGACTTTGAGGAGACACTGGTTTCCATGTTCACAGTCACTGAATGTGAGGCTGAGAGGTGGGTTAGAACTGGCTTTTTAAGGGGCACCCTTACCAAGTTATAAAATGTACCAATCATGGAGGCAATGGCACCACAGAAGGCCTAGGAAATAAAAGCAGTGCGGTGGGGTTATGGCAACCAGGTTAAGCTGCTGCCTAGGAGGCCCACAGCCCATACTGGAGTGGGCCAGTTTGAGTTCTGGCTACTCGACTTCTGGTCTAGCTTCCTGCTAATGCACCTGCGAAGTAGCTGGTCTGACTCAGGTACTTAAGTCCTTCTACCCACTGGGGAGAGCCAGATGGAGTTCCTGCATCCTGGCTTCAGCCTGGTCCAGCCCCAGCTCTGGCAGCCATTTGGGAAGTGAACCAGCAGTTGGAAAATCTCTCTCTCTTTCTCTGTGTCACTCTGCCTTTCAAATAAATAAGTGCTTTTTAATCATGTGATACAATTTTGGCCAAAGGGGAGAGTTTGCATTACCAGAATTGGATTTTAGGGTAATAGCTTTGGCACTCGGTGGATGATTGACAGTTACTGGAAGTGTGGCGATCAGTTGGAGAAGACAGTGCAGGCAGAATAAATAAATAAACGAGAAGGCCATCCGCTGAGGCAACAGCTGCAGGATGGAAGGGGAGGAGCTAAGTGCTGAGTAGACAGGGCTTGCTTAGGGGACCGAACATTTGTTGTAAACCCAAGTATCCAAATTGTTAACCCTGTTCACATCGGGAGGCAGAGTGGTTAGGCTGGATACTGTCCGGAAGCAAGAATCTGAGTGCCGGTGGTTAATTTTGGAGGTGATCCCGGGGAACTCCACTTGCTTGGGAAGCAGGGAAGTGAGAGGCCATTAATGAGCAGGTTACCACAGTAGACAAGTGGGACTTCACCCAGGAGACCCTTGAGAGGCAGTGTAGGTAAGCCTCAGGGTTGTCCTGGCCAAGGAGTGAGGAAATACATGTGTGTTCACCAAATTCTGCACTTGACTGAATGAGAGTACCCCCTGGAACTGACAACTCCCTGGCACTTCCATCCTGTCCCTGCATACCCGGGCTGGGAGAATCCTTAGGCAGAGAGCTTGGGATGCTGTCTCTAGGAAGTGCCCAGCGGTGAGTTCCACAGGGGAGAGCCTGTTGTTGAGGATGCTGGCAAGCACATGTTATTGTCTGGGGAGTCTACCAGTGCAGACACTTTGGGTGGGTTTTGTAATTGGAGTCTCAGAAAAACCATATGAAGTAAGAATTCAAATCCTCACTCTAAAGAAGAACCTGAGTTCTCACATGGTGAGTTATCATGGTGAAGAGAGCCGAAAGTGGCCAGCGCCGTGGCTCACGAGGCTAATCCTCCACCTTGCAGCGCCGGCACACCGGGTTCTAGTCCCTGTCGGGGAGCTGGATTCTGTCCCAGTTGCCCCTCTTCCAGGCCAGCTCTCTGCTGTGGCCAGGGAGTGCAGTGGAGGATGGCCCAAGTACTTGGGCCCTGCACCCCATGGGAGACCAGGAGAAGTACCTGTCTCCTGCCATCGGATCAGCGCGGTGCGCCAGCCGCGGTGCGCCGGCTGCGGCAGCCATTGGAGAGTGAACCAATGGCAAAGGAAGACCTTTCCCTCTGTTTCTCTCTCTCACTGTCCACTCTGCCTGTCAAAAAAAAAAAAAAAAAAAAAAAAAAAAAAAAGCCAAAAGCTTGTGGTGAAACACAAAACTGACTCCACATCGATTCTGCCAACATCGTGCCATACAAGCGTATTTGGGTGGGCCCAAGCCAGTTCTGCCCCTGGCTGATAATACTCCATGGCATTTTGGAATGGTCTCTGTTTTCTGCTCAACCTCCTAATATCTCTTTTCCTCCAAGGTCCCTTGTGTGGTGTTTATCACCAGTGTTTAGTATCTGAAGCTGGGTAACTGTAGGAGAGAGGCTTATTGAACTCACAGGTCTGGAGGTTCAAGGGCATGGTGGTACCCAAGTGGTTCTGGTGAGGACCTCCTGACGTATGGCATCACGTGCAGCAGTGAGATCACACCACCAGACGAGAGGCCAGACAATGACTCAGGGGTCAGACTCAGTCATATAAAAACTCACCGTCCCAAGAACTCAGGGTCCCGTGAGAACTACCCCAATCCTTCTGAAGGTGACCCAAGGACCTCACGTTAGGCCCCACCTCTTGACATCACCACACTGAGGACAAAATGTGCAACGCAAGAACCTTAGGGAGAAAATACAAACCATAGCTGCTTGGTTCTGAGTGTCTTCCTTCAGCACTAGTAAAGGAAATCTACTTGGCAGTCAGCACACAGCAAGTTTAAGAGAAAATGTTTGTCTTATAGTGTCTTAAAGGGAATATAATTACTCCCTCCAAGGGAATCTTCTGGCTGTTTACAAACCGCAGATTGTAACTGGTAGGCAGCTGATCGTCACAGGCACCTACCGGGAACACATCACAGGCCCTGAGGCTTGGCAAGGAATACCCCTTGTGAATCCCATCTACCTCTGCCATCAAATATTCCCAACTCAGCTCCTTTCTGTGGAACATAGCAAGAGTCACGCTGCATGGCATGTCTCCAAATAAACACCATAAATCAATTTTTAATTTATAAAATTAGATTATAAAATTGATTCCTTGGGCATTCATTCAGAGCCTCAGTAATGAACTTTACTGCGTCGTAGGGCAATGTTAAAGAGCAGCCACTGATGGTGAAACAGAGTATTACAGCTCAGCTGTAAGAGTATTACAGCTCAGCTTGGAGTATTAAAGCTCAACTCAGAGTATTACAGCTCAGCTCTAACAGTATTACAGCTCGGCTATAACAGAGTATTACACTCAGAGTATTAAAGCTCAACTCAGAGTATTGCAGCTCAGCTTGGAGTATTATAGCTCAGTATTACACTCAGCTCAGAGTATTAAAGCTCAACTCAGAGTATTACAGCTCAGCTTGGAGTATTATGACTCAGCCAGAGTATTAC